GTATATTTCTACACGGTCCCTTCGCTTCAGGACTTTTTAAGGTTGTTTTAGAACTTTTTAAAATTCTAAAAATGTTGCAGCAAAAGGAGCTAAAAAATATGAAATAATTAGAAATAATTAAACTTTAGAAATCGCTACATTTAAGGTCAGTTTTATAAAATAAACAAATAGCAGTGATGTTAATGACCAACATGTGCTACATTTACAATACATGTAAACAAAGAGCCTCACATTAGCACCAAAATTAGCTGCATTTTAGAAACAAGATCTTAGAAAATAGACCAGAATCAAAATTTTTTTTTTTTAAATTGCATTTTTATTTTTTGCAGTGGCCAACGACAAGAAAAAAAATAGGGATTACTGAAGAAATCTATTTTAGGAACATTCCTCAAATCTGTAGCTGCTGATTGGAAATGGTTTGGCTTGGAAGGTGCTGGTCCTGGATCAGGTCCAGACGTTCCTGGAGAACACACACACACACACACACACAGACACAGACACAGACACAGACACAGTGATTGATTAAATGGATCCTCTCAGTCCTGTTGCTGGTTTTCGTTCTATGCTTCATCACGGCCTGTGTTCCTAAATGTTCCACATGTCATGATACGTGTGTGTGTTGCTCTCGTGATGTCCTGCTGGTGTAGAGTGCTGTGATGGCACAGTGTGTCTCACACACACACACATGCGCGCGGTGCAGCAGCGGAGACTCCTGCTGTTACACGCAGCGACATGAAACGCTGCAGAACTCCTCACAGAGACTCTCCGTTGTTGGACTTTCGCGGTCAAAGCCGCCTTTGCCACAGCAGCATTCCGGGTCTTTCTAGTCTTTCAACACTTCAGCAACTAAAGTGCTGACAGCGGTGAAGCAGCCGGATCAGTCAGACGTCAGCAGAGTGACGACGACGACAACGACAACAACAACAACAACTGTTAGCCGTTTAGGAGAAAAGCTGCTGCTTTTTTGACACAACACACGACCAAATGTGACCTCTGCTGTTAAACCATCACCAGTCAGCAGGGGGCAGCTTAAGCGCCCGGGGGGAGCAGTGTGTGGGGATGCTGAGTGGTAACTCGGCAGCCGGTGGATTCGAACCTGAAACCTTCTAGTCCCAAGTCTGCTTCTTTAACCACCAAGACACCCCTGCCACTGCTGAGAGCTTTTTTTTTT